GGGTGGATGAAATGGAGGTTAGCGACGGGAGTCCTGTGTGACAAGAAAGTGCCACCGTTACTGAAAGGTAAATTTTATAGGGCAGTAGTTAGGCCTGCTATGTTGTATGGGACCGAGTGTTGGCCGGTGAAGATCTCACACATCCCGAGGATGAAAGTTGCAGAGATGAGGATGTTGAGGTGGATGTGTGGGCATACAAGGAAGGATAAGATTAGAAATGAAGATATTCGAGAGAAGGTGGGTGTGGCCCCCATGGAGGACAAGATGCGGGAAACAAGACTCAGATGGTTCGGGCACATTCAGAGGAGGAACACTGATGCGCCGGTGAGAAGGTGTGAGCGACTGGCTGTGGTGAGTACGAGGAGAGGTAGAGGGAGACCTAAGAAGTATTGGGGAGAAGTGATCAGGCAGGATATGACGCGACTTAGGGTTACTGAGGACATGACCCTAAACAGGGAATTATGGAGATCGAGCATTAAGGTTGTAGGTTAGGGGAAATTGTGATTTCTTTTTACAGCACACTAGAGTGAGACTAGCCAGTTAGGAATTAGTCTTAGGATGCTATTGATCAGCTACTGATGATGGGCTTTATCTGCTGTTTATTAGTATACCTTACATCTTTCTCATATTTCCTATATCTCTTATATTGCTGTTATTTTGTTATTTTATGGTATTTATGTTATGTTATGGATTTTATGGTATTGTATGTTATTTTATTATGAGTCTATTGATAGTACTAATATAGTGTCTCTTGTTGCCTTCTTGAGCCGAGGGTCTCCTGGAAACAGCCTCTCTGCCCCTCGGGATAGAGGTAAGGTCTGCGTACATATTACCCTCCCCAGACCCCACTTGTGGGATTACACTGGGTTGTTGTTGTTGTATTTTGGGCTACCTTTTACTCATCAACTCTTGGAATCATGCTCAGTTGAGATGGTAACATGGTGGAAAAGAAGTGAATGTTTTATATTTCTGAAGCATTGAGAAGAAATTGTTGATATGTCTTTCTATGTAAACCAGGAAAAGAATTACTGAAACCACCAATATATCTTTGGGTCACTTGAAGGGCTACTAATATTTAAATCTTTTAGGGACCCACAATTATGATATTGGTTGGATAACTACTCTTGACAAAAAGCAAACCCCCACATCTCTCCATAAGCAACTACTTCCTGTATCTTTCCATCTAACTTTAGGCCTTTTAGTACCAAGGCTATTAAGATTTGTAGATTTTGGGTATTCAATGATAATGGTTGTGTTTCCTGTTCGGTATACTTGGGGAATAGTTTGTTTCTGATGAACCTACACATGAATGTACTGACTCGACACTGTCCAAATGTTTGCACTGCCCAATTGTTTATCTCATCGCTGTAGTTGAAACTCCATTACATGGATATCTTTGGTAAATGAAATTTCATTACTGATAATGTGTTGTCCTAAACTTTTATTTGCTTATTTCTGGGTGAGAAGATTGCCTAACAGTCTAAGCATATCCTCTTCTACTACTCATGTTTTCACTTTTCAATCAGTTTTCCTTTGAAACAACTTACTCATGGAAAATTCATGCAGCTCCAGAAATTAAAGGATGCTATTGCAAATTATAATCCAGCTCATGCAAAAGAGAGTTCCCTGAAAGGAACTGATGATGGGAAGTCTGTGCTTCCTTGAAATTTCTGCATCCTAAAAGGCAAGGCAGTTTAAATCAACTGCAAGGTATAAATAAACAAATTTGCTTGTACTATATTTAATTCTAGAACCTTACTGCAGACTGCTATTGGCTGTGTCACAACCTTCCTTCTACAATGTGTTAGAAAGCTGTGCATAGTCCTTTGTACAAAGCATTGATTTTTTGCCATTGCTGTAATCTATTTCTTATGACGATATGGTAAAAAATGTTTTTACATATTAGTTTGTAATGGTTAATATTTGCTACTTTCATGGCAAAATCAAACGTACAGAATATAATAGGAAAATGGATAATTAGATTAAACTACAGATATGATCGCGTTCCATGCAGATGGTTGAGATCAATATCAATGAAGATGAATTAACAAATTTTTAACTTATGTGTTTTACAAGAAAGAAGTTTTTATTCAATTTGAAGTCTAGAGAAACGGCAAGAACCTTTGAGGCTATAGCGTTCAAGATGTGTTTTTGACTACTCACAAGTCACAACTGCTAATGCTGCAAGGCATTTGGGTTTTGTAACTATCTTTGGCACACATGTACACACACACCCCACCCAAAAAAAAAGGGTTTCAATAGATAAATGATTGAAGTGAAAAGCAAATGGATGGAAACAGGGAGATTTTCAAATGAAGCAAGTGAATGAGTCCAAGACTATTGCTGTTGTTTTTCTTCTCTTTTATGACACTGATATTGTCTGTAGTCACAAGAAACTGATTGTTTCTTCTCTTTGTAATTTTATGATCAAATTAACATATAATGAAATCCGCTACAACTATTCAGCATGTACAAATCATTAGCCAAAGGGTCCAAGCTTCCAACTCATGTTATATTCCGACTATGTAGTAATTGTAGGTGCTAAAACTTTCGATCTCCTCCCTTTTATTAGTGCTTCTGTATCAGGGAAGTGACCATTTCTCTCCATAATATCCACAACATGACCTTCTGCAGTCACATTCACAGGGTATGTGACCAAATGAACACCCTTCATATCTTCTACTTCATCTTGATCGTAAATCTTCCACAATTGGTCTCCGATAGAACGGATTTTTTGCACGCATTCTAAGCTTTGAGGCTCTTGAAACACTTGTTCTGCTTTTGCTGTATGCTCATACCACAATGACATACGATATGCATGAACGTCCCTTTGATCTATGTCGCCTTCTTCACTTTTCGACTGATAGCATCCTATTGCAATCTCTGTGTCTCGTTGCCCATCCATGGATCTTTGATTTATGTTAGCAGAACCAATTAATAAGTAGGTGTCATCCACTGAAAATTTAGAGAAAGAGTTGTAAACATCTAAGCTTTATTAGTCTAGACGATAAGCAACACGAGCAGATGAGAGTTAACATCACGTATAGTTACTGAATTTTAACTCACCAAAAACAATAATGTCACACAACTTCACCAAATGTAACAGTAAAGTTACCTTGATCTTGATGTATAGGATTTGTCGTTATACTTGGTAAAATTCAGTTACTTTAATGTGACAAAGTAACTTTGCGATTTTACTATTATAGCATGTAATTTTAATGACTTTAATATTATAGTGAGTAAAGTTAAGTTACTTTAATATGGCAAAAAATAGTTGTGTAACTTTACTGTTATAGTAGATAAAGTACAGTGACTATAAACCAGATGTGAAATTAACTCGAGCGGAGGGAGATTTTCATACCTATCATGAGCTTAGAGTGGACATAAACCATGAATCTTCTTTTCTTTTGAGCTTTCCAATATTGTGATTCAGGATGTGGAGAATAAGGAGGAACAAACTCTCCCTTGAACTCTTCTTCTCTGTTTGCAAGGCAGAAGAAATTCAAGTAATCTCTAGGATGTCCTGGCTCACCACTTTCTTTAATAGCTTCACCTATAAATTTATACATCATCTTCATTGTTTCTCTAGTCCAATGCAATATATCTTGAACTGAATCACTTTCTGGCAATCCTTCAGGCCACATTGGTATCACAATGTACACAGCGAATCGCTCTTTAGCTTTGATTTTGTTTGCAACTTTTAGTGCAATCTCTATTGGAATTAAATTTCTACAGCCACAATGTTGATCTTGCTCCCAAAGGTGACATGCACCGATGAAATACTGATTTTCTATGTAAATAAATCTGTCAGCTCGTCTAATCGCTTCTACATAAGCTTCATGTATGCTTCTTTCAATTGGCATGTTCATAGGCAAAGGGCATGCTGAGACATGATCAATTGAACGAAAGACTTGAACGTTCCAATCGCGATCAGTAGAAGCCATGTTTGGCTGATTGCTTAGTTCTGGAATGGATCTTATAGGAATGAGCAAAGAAGGGCCAATTTGCTTATTCCATCTTTGTTCAAAATTGTTGAGTATATCCATAGCTGCTTGTCCTGTGACACGAGCGTGAGCATCGTGCCATGGTTCTCTCGGCCCTCCTTTGTGTAGGCTTGCACCAGATAGACTCGTTTGATAGAAATCGTAGCAATGTGATTCTGTGTTGAGAGTTTTAAACAAGGAGTGTTCTTCTGTATCGTAGCGACCATCACAAAGGTCTAAACCACCGATAAAGCTAGTGATTTCTCGACTAGTTGAAGATAGATGACTTCTTGAATCTACTGTTATTACTTTTTGATGATGTGCAAAGAATGAAGGCAGTTTATGGTGTAATCTGGGAACTAATTTGCATACTACTTTTGTGTCTCTGAAATAGGCTAAAGAATCTTCGTCGTGTGTTCTCATTACTCCTTTGTTCTTGATTATTGGTAAGGATGTTTCGTCGTCCCAAAGCATGATCCTCACAGCCACACCTTCCTCTGCTTTGCGCTTCAGTAATTCGCCTAGCTTTACTCCTTTTGCATGCATAATTTCTGTACTGGGATCACGGACCTGAAAAGGGAAGCCATCATTTTGCTAAGCGTATGCATAAAAAATTGTACAACACAAACGAAAAAAAGATAATTAAGTAAATAAAAGTATATTCTTCTAATAATTTATACTTTAAATGAGACGATCACATAATTCAACATGGTATCAGAGCAAGCAGAGGTCTTGATTCGGTCTCACTTCCACCATTATCAAAAATAATTTCCATCTGCTTTGTTCATGAAAAAGAATCAGACACGTATGTGAAGGGTGTGTTGAAAACATAATTAAGTTAATAAAGTACGTTATCTGTCTTTTACATAGCTTTTTGGTGCTGTGCCTCCTTGTCTATCTTTTCATTAATGTGCTGCTTATGCTTTCCTGAGCCGAAGATCTATTAAAAACAATCTCTCTATCTTCACAAGGTAGAGGTAAGGTCTGCATACACACTACCCTGCCCAGACCCCATGGTGTGGGATAACACTGGGTAAGTTATTGTAAAGTATGTTATCTGTAATAGCTTAAGTTTTTGGATCAGATGGTCATACAATTCAGCAACGTACACATAAAATTGTGCAACAAAAATAGAAATGATGGTAGTTTTTCCCCCTTACCAGGGCCAAATTAGGATTGAAAGACCAGCCTGCAATATAAATCAAATGCTTTGCACCCTCAATGGCTCTGTATATATCCTCCCACAAGTTTTTGGGTCTCTTGGAATGTTGAAATGGTGGTTGAAATGTATGTTGGTGATGTGCATCTTGATAAAGAGTCACACTACAGTTTGATCTTTGAGGAAATGTTGAATTTTTGAATCCTGTGAATGTACCATTCTCTAATATTCTTCCCCAACTTGGTTCATATTCTGCTGGTTTAAACCACAAAATGAATTGCAATTTCAGTTTCTTCTTTGGCTTCTTGTTTTCAGTTGAAAGTGGGAAGAATCCCTCAACTAAACTTGCTTCATTTAAGAGCTTATGAGAATGAACTGTGAATTTTCCTAAGGTGGTGCACTTTGTCTTTAGGGTAATGGTAATGGTTGTATTGGGAGAATGAGCACAGAGGATTTGAAAGGTTTGGTTCCAAACACGATCACGTTCTTGTGTTGTTTTTGCTACTGTTTTGTTATCAATCTTGATTGTCACATATGCAGGTTTTCCATTTGCTGAAATACACTGCAAAAAAAAAAAGGATTTTAGGCCTTAAAAACTGATTGTTATTGTAGCCCCAAGGGCTTTGATCTAACGGTAAGAGCATAGCGCTTGATGCATGATTAGGCACACCAAAGGTGGATGTAGCATATTGTTGTCGGGGTTCATCTGAGCCCAGTATTTTCATCACAAAGTATAAATTTATGTGTAAAAATTCACTAAAATTATAACAAATAATCAATATGAACCCAAAACTTTAAAAACACTATGGGTTCAATTAGAGGCTGGATTCAGGATTTCAAGAGGATGGGTGCACTATTGTGAAGAGGCGGATCTAGAATTTATATTTGACTGGTTTAACTTTAGTCTCTTTATTATGACCCACTACACTTTTAAAATTAAAGGTTCAAAGTAATATTCTTTTTGAAAGTTTAGTAATTTTCTCTCTCTCTCACACACACACATATATGCCGAAAACAAGACCGTTCAGAGTGTGATTTGAACTGTCAATTTTGAAGAAATATAACATTGTTATACATGATTTAGGGAGAGTAGTATGGATTCATGTGAACCCATATCCCTCAACTTGGATATGCCTATGAGTTCAATACTAATAACCTTAAAAGTTGAACCCATGGAGCTTAAATTTTGGATTCGCTTCTGAGGCGCACATCATGCGTTCGAATCATATCACAGATAAAAGCCTAGTATTTAAGTGAAAAGGATACAAGGACGAGCTCTTTATCCACTAAATTTCGTAGTGTACACTAACTGACTCTCGGAAATTTCTCAGTTATCAAAAAAGAACATGTGCTTGCAATGAATCACTTACCTTGAGAGGAATAGATGACTTATGAGATGTGGCACGGAAAATAGAGACTTCAAGTGTTCCATGAAAACACTTATATTTGCCCTCCATTTTTGCAGTTCTTCACAGGATTGATGATATTTGGTTGATTATATTTTGAGAGGGAAAGATCAGAGAACACACAGAATTTTCTTTGGTTTGTGAAAGAGTACACACATTAGTATGCTGATATATAAAGTTAGGTAAGTTTGTTATTTTAATCCAAAGACAGCTAGCTATGTATGTTTTGTAAATGAAGATATGTGAGGAAACTTGGAATGCAAAATGAGCAGTTGGAAGTGGACAAAACTTAAAAACATGTAAATTTTAAGCCTTAAAGGCAACCTTCAATTTCACTTCTAGTTTCTACTTTAAGCTCAAGTTTT